TAATAAAATAAAATAAATATTAAAGATGCATCTGACAGATAAAAAATATTTATCATGGGAATTTTAAGTTTTATTTTTTAAATCCTTTGTTTTAATTAAAAATGAATGAATTATATACACGTGAAAACTGGACAGTTAATAAGACTAATAAGATAGAAGAAGAACTGAATTATGATGAAAAATTATTGACTATACCATGGATAGCAAGAACAACAAACAGCACTGTCTGGGAAGAAATATCGTCTGAAGACTCCTTAGAAGCAAGGACAGTGAGACTTAGGGCATATTTTAGGGAGGGATCAGCACGAGAATAACTTCATGCTTTATAAAGGAAAGCATTAGTGAAGAAGAGAAGAAATCTCAGTGAGGCATACTGGCACAGGGAGACAGACTGACACAGGGAGACAGACTGGCACAGGGAGACAGACTGATATAGGGAGACAGAGTGATACAGGGAGACAGACTGGCACAGGGAGACAGACCGATACAGGGAGACAGACTGGCACAGTGAGGCAGACTGGCACAGTGAGGCAGACTGGCACAGGGAGACAGACTGACACAGGGAGACAGACTGGCACAGGGAGACAGACCGATACAGGGAGACAGACTGGCACAGTGAGGTAGACTGGCACAGTGAGGCAGACTGATACAGTGAGACAGACTGGTACAGCGAGGCAGACTGACACAGTGAGATAGACTGGTACAGTGAGGCAGACTGGCACAGTGATGTAGACTGGCACAGCGAGGTAGACTGGCACAGTGAGGTAGACTGGCATAGCGACTGCAACAACTGGCTCCTGCATGGTGCCCCAGCAGTGGTCCTTTTTGTTGTGTGCGGGGTAGTGATGAGTCAGAACCAGCTTAACGGCACCACACAGTAAGCCAACAGCTGGTTCTTGAGTAGCAAAGTGCAACCACTTAATTTTGAGAACCAGGTTTTTCTAGATCATACAAACGAATGATATGAATACAAACTTGAAACTCATTATTCTTAGGAATTCTCAAAAGGAGAGCTTCTGTCCCCTTCATCTCACAACATTTACTAGTGGATTTTCCCCCCCTCGTTATTCTTCTCATATAGTCATCTGAGAATATTAGAGCAGAGAAGGAAGAGGGTTTTATTCTAACTCTGACCCCTTCTACAGGAGCGTCAGGCCTTCTCTGTTTTTCCTCACATAATCATAGAAACCCATGTCTTTATGTCACAATGGCTCTATGTCATTAGTACTGACAAACATCCTCTGGACCTGGTTATCAACTGCTCTTCAATTTTCATACAGAGATAAGCATTTAAAAGGATGTTTGTTATAGTTAACATATTATCCATGTTACTAGATAATAAATTCAACTCTTGGTAATACATCAACGTGGCCATTGGACTTGTGAGGGAAAGATCATGCAATATTTCCCAACTTTCTAACCACTCAACTTTTGGTTTATTTACCTTGTCTTTCACAACTATGATCATCCTATAGAACCTTTTGGGATTGCATGAGACAATTGGGAAAGGCTAGTACAGTGAGGTCTACAGAAATTCAAAGGAAGAAAAAAAGAACCCAAAAGCAGCATTGTCAAATCCATTCTGATCCACTGCAATTCTATAAAACAACAACTCCAATGAGCATCCAAGGAATGTCATATCTTTATCACTTAGAGAAGCTCCTAGGTTCAAAGCACCAACCTTTCAACAAGGATCTGAGCACTATTGCACCATTTCAGCTAAAATATGGAACCAGGCAAAATTATTGACAATAACAATTTCAAATGATGTTTCCAGGGAGGGCTTTATTGGGTGAAGCTTATAAATAAGGCCAAATTAGGGAAGGGAGAAGATGTAAATGATTCCAGTAGACACAAGCAGCCTTGCTCACATACGGGAAAATAAGAATTCTGGTCAAGGAACAGCAGCAGAATAAAACTGACTTTCCCATAAGTCCTGAATATATTATAGCATTTGTATGGAAATATATCCCAAAGTCTATGTTAGAGTGCTAAGACCATATCTCTAGCCCAACTATAAGAGGGATTTTTAAAGTGGTGGTCGGTCACAAGTGGCCCAATTAAAAGAGAAACTTCAACATTAGCCACAATAGCCTCAGCTACTGTATGAGGAAGAAACTGTTAAAAAAGTGCTTCCAGCTCTGGAGACCTGCAGGCAGCTTTGCCCATGAGTTTTGAGAGATAAACACATGACAGGTTAGTATCACAGTAACAATTAATAACCCTGAAATTTAAAAAGAATTTCTGGATGTTTGAGATGCATGTTTAAAGAAATAAAACTCTATCTCAGAATCTTCTTTCCACAGATGACCCATCATCTTGTTATGAAAAAAAAAACAACCAAATGGAAGAAGAATCTTGACACCAGCCGTGAGCGTACATGTGATAATGGTTTCCTTGTCCAAGTCAGTAATGAATGCCCGGGGCACTCCCATGTTTAGCATGTGATTCCAGATCCACAACATCTCCAGAATGGTGTTTCAGCTGACTGATTCCACATGAATTTCTACGCAAGTTTCCTAGTAACTGCTGTAGAGTCACATTGATATGAACACACTATCTTGTGATACTTTACAAATTATAAAGATCTAGATGCAATAGTTCTTTATTATTATTATATTATATTATGAAAAATCATTGTTTCAATATAACTAACTAAGCAGTAATTTAGAAAAATTGTCAACCTCTCTAACTGTTTCTCATCTGTAAAACGAAGATAAAATTCTCTAAGTTCCAAATTGTTGTAAAGGTCACAACTGGTATATGTATGTATACTATAAGGAACTAGAAATCAGCCACATACAGCTTACTTGCTAATCACAGTAAGTCTCTGCTTTTTATTTCCCATGAGGTTTTAAAAATCTAATTTCTTGTTCTCAGTGATTTTTGAGATTTAATTTTATTTCTTTTTTGTGCATATACAGAAATGTATGTACCATTCACACGCACAAGCATAATTTTAGTAATTTTACTTTCTCCCAAACGGATTTTCTTTTAGAGAATGATAATCAAGCTAATTTTAATTGCAAAATGGAATATATTAATTATTGAAAAGATGCTTCCTTTGTAAATAAGTCTTGAATAGCATAAATATAATTAGCATGCATTCATCCTATAGAACATCTTAAAATCAACCCACTTCAATGAGAATTCTGAATTCTTTACATTGGTCTCATGTGCTTCTCAACAGTATTTCCAATGGTAAAGAACTTACATTTTTTTGCAGTGGGGGCATTTTGCCAGAGTGTTGAACCTTAATTCCATCCACTGTAAAATAAACAAAGAAAGCAATTGAAAAGAAAAACAACTGGAAAATGGTCTAATCTGATAAACTGCTTTCTTTTCGTTTACATATCATCAGGGTTCTCAGAACAGGAGTAATCATTCTCAGGGTTACAGAGCTTTTGGCCACCAACTCCCCATCCCCTCCTTAAACTAAAAAGTTTGGGACTCCCCTCTGAAACTTTCCCATGACTTTTTCCAAGGCTCTGACGCAATTTGCTTTGCAACAGAAGATGAATGTAGCTCAATAATTGGGGTCAATTCTTTCAGCTTTAAGTCTTACTTGACTCTCAGGGGGGAGAGGAAACATATTTCATGAGTAACTTGAAAGATCAGATAAGAAACTTAGGAGGCAGTGAGTTTATGTTATTGGGGGAGAAAAACTCAGCAGGATGTGAATGGCTGCACAACTTGAAAAAATGTGATCTGTGTCTTGGGATAGTGTGTGTAGAAACTGTTGAATTGGTTTGATGTATGTTCTACAACAACAACAAAAATATATTCTTAAAAGTCATATTTCAGAGACTTCCAAAGTTGTATTTTCCTTTTAATCTTGAAGGTCAACATTTTAAACACATGATTATTTACATATTAGTAACTGTTGTTAGGTATCCTGGAGTCAACCACAACTCAAAGCAGCTCTATTAAGAACAAATCTGGACCTTGTACGTTCTCATGATCTCTGATGTGCCTGAGCCCATCATTACAATCACCACATCAATTTATCTCATTGAGAGTCTTCCACTCTTCACTGGCCCTCTACATTTCCCACCATGGTGTCTTTATCTAAAAACTGGCCCCTGACAATGTGTCCAAATCATGTGAGATATTCACCGTCCTTGCTTCTAAGGGGCACCTTCATTGCACTTCCTCCATCAAACTAGATATAGTACTAAACGGCAACTGTTTATTCTGCCGTCACAAAGTAATGAAATTAATTATTAAAAAGTAGAGCTCAAGCGGGTATTTTTCTTCCTATCTGCCATTGCTTAAGCACACTATGTAACAAAAATATTTCTACCGCACAAATTTCTCTTTCAATTTTCTTTCCTGTAAAGGCAGACAAAGAATACATTATCATTCTCTCAGAAAAGCTATTTAGATAGTAGAAACATTTAATACATTTACGTTTTCATACTTTAACAGATGTTAATGCCTTTATTGAATATGCACTATAAATGAAAAGCAAATCTTTATTACATATATTTTACAAAATGCTTTAAAATATACGTTTCTCACTTTTTATGTCCTTTTTGTAATAGATATATTTCCATTATAGGTTATTGGATCATTAATAATTTTAACTTTTTTATCAACTAAGTGACTTTACCTTCATTAAAATGAGTATTTGCTTAGGATTCCAATTTGTCAATTTTCCTTTTTGTTCTGGATACTATAGATCAATTTCCAGATTTATAGCACCCCATAAAACAGGAAAGAATTATTCTATAAGGTTTTCTAAGCTATTCTTTTTATGGGAGCAGATATCTACGTCTTTCTTCCACAGAGCTGCTGGGTAGTTTCAACCCTGAAATCTTTTTTGGTTAGTAACAGAACACTTAATCATTCTACCACCAGGGTTCCATTTGTTGTTGTAGCTTTGACTCATAGCACCACATGAACAACAGATCTGAACCTTGCCCTATCCTGTGCCATCCTTCTAATCTCTGATATACTTGAGCCCATTGCTACAGTCACTATGTCAATCCACCTCTCCAAGGGTCTTCCCCACTCAACAGACTCCCCTTTTTCAAGCATGATGTCCTTTCCCAAGGACTAGCTCCTCCTAACAACATGAAAAAAGTATGTGAGACACAGCTTCATCATCCTCATCTCTAGAGAGTACTTTGGTGACACTCTCTTCAAGATATACTTATTTATTCTCTTGGTAGTCAATGGGATATTTAGTATTCTTTTTTAATACCATAGTTCAAAGGCATCGATTCTTCTTCTGTCAGACGTATTCATTGTTCAACTTTCAGATGCATAATACATAACTTAAAACACAATGCCTTAAATCAGGTGAACCTTAGTCTTTAAATTGACATCGTTGTTCTGTAGCATTTTGGAGAGGTCCTTGACACCAACTTTGGAGGGGCCTTAGAAAAATAGAAAACAAAACTAGGTTGTCTGGAGTCTTTTGCCTTCATTTTTGTTTCAAACTTTATGAAAGGAAGTTAACCTTGATCATGAGATCTCTCAGTCTCAACAGGGACATATCACCCCTAAATTGATAAATTAGAAACAAAATTTTACATAAATATTCATTCTCCTTTCAAAATGACTATTTCTCCAGCATCTAAGAATGCTGAGCTAAAGATCTATTTTTTTTAACAGAAGCAAACTTTTCACTCATTAATTATACTATGTAGCAGAAGGTCAAGAGCTGCAAGCTTCAATATGGATTGTGGCTCAATAGCAAGAAGACAAAGATTCTCACCACTGGACCAATTGGCAGCATCAGGATGGATGGTGAAAAGACTGAGATTGTTAACAGCTTTAGTTTGCTTCGCTCCACAGTCAACACCAGCAGCCAGGAAATTAAAAGACACATTGCGATGGGAAAGTCTGCTGTTAGGGATCTCTCCAAAGTACTGAAGAGCAATGGTGTCACTCTGGAGACTAAGGTGCACCTGAAACAGGCCGTGGTCTTTGCAATCACTTTCTATGCATCAGAGAGCTGGACAATGACGAGGGAGGATAGAAGGAGAATTGATGCTTTTGAGCTGCGGTGTTGGAGAAGATTATTGTATATACCGTGGACTGCTGAGAAAACAAATAGGTTTATCCTGAAGAGGGTGGATTCAGAGGATTGATTCAGTGACTGGAGTAATGGGGGTAGGTGTGTCAGAGACAGTGAAATTGGCACAGGATAGAGCAGGATTTAGGGCTGTACATAGGGTCGCTATGAGTCACAGGCAACTCAATTGCACATAAGAAAAAGCAGCAAAAGGTAATTTATTTTAAATCCAACTCTTTTAGTGAAAATTCTAAAATAATGCTACACAGAATCATAACTATTTCTACAGAAATTTGTACAAAACATTAAAAAGTAAGGGATGCAAACATTTTATTGAGTATGCTATGTTTTTGTTAATTAGCCGTAGGATTGCTTCTGAACCTACACTGTCACTTCAAATCTCATTTTTAAATAATAAATAATAAATTTAAGAATCAGAGAAGGCAATTTTGGAAGACTTGAGTCAAGAGTGAATAAAAATTCAAGCCTAAAGCTAACACACTAGCACGGGAATTCTAGAATTTCAGATGACCCATTTAAGGATATAATTGAGCCCAATATTATTATTTCAGAATATTCTTCCTTTTAGAGTAGATTATGCATGGTAAATTCAATTACAGTTGGCAGACAGATGAGAAATTATTGTGTAATTAGTAAATTGCATGGCCAGAAACCTACCTCATCCCACTTTGCTGCTATCTTCACTCATATTTTTTAAAATGTGGCAAACAAAGAAGAGAGAAGCTTCTATTATTAGGAATCATTTTCTCATAGTTTATTCAAACAAATGCAAATGTCTTAATCTTTAAAGGAATTTGGCATACTAATATGATCTTAATTAAAATTAAGTCTCTCTACTCTTTACTGCCAGAATCTTTAAGTTTTAATACACAAATAATCCTATCTAGTTGCTATAAATTTCCCTAAAGCCCAATCTTTTTAAGAGAGATCTTCCAATAATTAATTGACTTATTTTTCAATATCATAGGTAATAGATGAACTTATTTATCCCAAGATAATACTTTGCAACCTTCTTGTAAGATTCACTTAAAAAATACATAAAGAAAGCATACGTAAAAAAAAATTTAAAAATAAAAAATTTTTTTAAAAAAAGAAAGCATATGTTTATCAAAACTAGCTGGAATTTTTAAAAAGATATTACAGGCAACTGTTAACATTTAGTTTTAAGTACATCTAAGATAAAATTATTGTCACTCTCTGTGAAGGCTCCAAATTATTTGTGCTTGTATCCAAGTGAAGAAAATCTGACCCTCCATGAAAGTAGGTCACTGACCTCCTTCAAGGCTAAATCTGAATCATCTAGGCTTGTAGCATTTATTGTGGTTTGTCCATTTTGTTGGAGAAAGCTGACCTTGTAGTCTGTTTATCTGGTATATTATCTAGATCTGCTTTTTATCAATTACAGAGAACATCTGTCTCCAACCAACTGCACAGAAAAGCATTTTAGTTGTCTTAAGATACTACTTTACAGTACACATTAAAACATTTGTTTAGAAAAGATACTTTATATTTATGGTAGAATAAATAGTTAAAGGCTATTTATATTCCTTTTATTTTTCAAAATATAACCATGCACCTCATAAGAAATGAAGTGAACACTATTATAGTATAAGACCACTATCCTAAAAAGCTGAGGAAAAGTTTACACACAGATAGAATCATTCTTTATATGGTTACCAGGATGAGAAGGGAGAAAGAGGGGGTAAAAATGAATAAATAGATACATTGGGAGAAGGGAAAAGTCATATACAGTAAGAGTTTGTTCAGATATTATAATTCATTACATTTTTAAATGCATATGAATAATGAGATTGTAATGTTTATTGTCAGGTGTCATTGAGTTGAGTACAACTCATAGCAACCCTATGAAGAACAGATCCAAACCCTCTTCTAAGTTGTGCCATTTTTATTATCCTGAACGTATTTGAGCCCATTGCCACAGATGTTCTACCAATCTATCTCACTGAGGGTCTTCCTCTCCTTTACTGCTTTTCCACCTTTCCAAGCTTGATGTCCCTCCCCATGAAACAGCCTCTCCTAACAGCGTGTTAAAAGTATGTAAGATGATGCATTGCCATCATCGTCTGCAAGGGACATTCTGGTTGTGTTTTCTCCTAGACATAACTGTTTGTTCTTTTGGCAGTCCATGGGATACCTAGCACACTGCTCCAACACAATTCAAATGCACTGATTCTCCTCCTGTCATCTATATTCATTGTTCAAC